AAAGTCACTAGAAGGAAAGAAAGAACAGAAATAAATGAAACAGAGAACAGAAAAACAAGGGAAAGAATCTATAAGACCAGATGTTGGTTAATCAAAAGGATCAGTAAAATTGACAAATCACTGGCCAAATTAAAAAGAAAAGCAGGAGAAGAAGCAAATAACCTAAATAAGAAATTAGATGGATGACATTACAACAGAACCAACTGAAATAAAAAGGATCAATAAATAATACTATTAAAAATAATATTACAACAAATTTGAAAACCTGGAGAAAATAGACAAAGTTCTAGAAACATACTGCCTACCTAAACTAACACAAAATGAGGTAGAAAAACTGAACAGACCCAAAGCAAAAGAAGAGATTGAAAAGGTAGTTTAAAAAAAAAAAAAAAACTCCTAACAATAAAAACTCTGGCCCAGATAGCTTCACTGGAGAACTCTACCAAACGTTCAGAGAAGAGCTTACTCACACCAACACTACTCAAACTAGAAATATCCTCTGAAATGAGCAGAGGAAAGGGAGCAATACTCCTGAATTCATTGAATGAAGCTAGCATAACCCCAATATCGATGCCAGGCAAAGACACCACAGAAAAAGAAAATTAGACTAATACCCCTCATGAACATAGATGCAAATATTCTTAACAAAATTCTAGCCAATAGAATTCAACAGCATATCACAAAAATAATAAATCATGACCAAGTGGGATTCATACCAAGTATACAAGGATGGTTCAACATCAGGCAATCAATCTACATAATCTACTACATAAATAAAACAAAAGAATCACATGATCATCTCAATTGATGCAGAAAAGCCACTTGATAAGGTCCAACACCATTCCTGATAAAAAGCCTCAGCAAAATAGGAATAGAAAGTAAATTCCTCAACAAAATAAAGGGCATTTGTACAAAACCAACAACCAACACTATTCTCCACAGAGAAATATTGAAAGCATTCCCCTAGAGAACAGGAACTATACAAGTATGCCTTTTATCAAAACTCTTACTCAACATTGTATGGAAAGCCTAGCTAGAGCAATAAGGCAAGAAAAGGAAATAAAGGGCATTCAAACTGGTAAAGAAAAATAAAATTATCCCTATTTTCAGATGATATCATCATATATATACCAAAAAAACCAAACTCACTGCCAGCGAGTCAGTCTTGACTCATAGCGACCCCTCCTTGAGTTTAGAAAACCCCGAAAATTCCATAAGAAAGCTAATGGAACTAACAGGATTCAGGAAAGTAGCAGGATATATGATCAACATACAAAAATTGGTTGGATTCCTTGGCACCAATAAAGAGAACTTCAAATAGGAAATCAGAAAAATACCATTTACCACAGTGACCTAAAAGATAAAATTCTTAGGAACAACTGTAATCAGTGACATGTTATTGTTGTTAAGTGCCGTCGAGTCGTTTCCGACTCATAGCGACCCCACGCACAGCAGAACGAAACACTGCCCGATCCCGCGCCAGCCCCACAATCCCTGCTGTACTTGAGCCCATCATCACAGCCACTGTGTCAATCCATCTCGTTGAAGGCCTCCCCCTCTTTCGTCAACCCTCTACCCTACCAAGCATGACATCCTTCTCCAGGGAATGGTCCCTTCTTACAACATGACCAAAATAGGTGAGAGGAAGTCTGGCCATTCTTGCTTCCAAGGAGCATTCTGGCTGCACTTCCTCCAGGACAGATCTGTTAGTTCTTGTGACATAAAAGACCTATAAAAAGTCAGTGACATAAAAGACCTATAAAAAGAAAACTATAAAACAGTACTATAAGAAGCCAATAGAGACCAACATAAATGAGAAAATATACCATGCTTATGTATGTTGTTGTTGTTGTTGTTATGTGCCGTCGAGTCAGACCCGACTCATTGCGACCCCTCCTTGGGTTTCCCAGGCAGTATCACTATGGAAGTAGATTGCCCCATCTTCCTTCCAGGGAGTGGCTGGTGGGTTTGAACCGCCGGCCTTCTGGTTAGCAGTCAAGTGCCTTAGCCACTATGCTACCAGAGCTCCCTGCTTATGTATAAGAAGACTTAACATTGTGAAAATGTCAATACTACCTAAAGGGATCTATAGATATAATGAAATCCTGATCCAAATTCCAACTCTTTATGAGGTGGAAAAACTAATCACCAGCTTAATATGGAAATGAGAGAGGTCCTGGATAAGTTAAGTATTATTGAAGAAGAGAAAGAAAAGACAAGTCCTCACACTACCTGATCTCAGTACCTATTATATACAGCCATGGTAGTCAAAACAGCCTGGCCTGGTACAACAGAAATGAGGATCTAGACATAAATCCATCTATCTATGAAGAGCTGGTCTTACACCAAGGACCAAGGTAGAACTAGATAGATAGACAGAACTAGAGAGAGAGATAGAACTAGAGAGATAGAAGACATGTGTTAATAATAGTGAAAGGAGAAGCAAAACACAAGACGGGAGAAGTCAGTACAATGTGACCAAGGCAAAGGCAGACACTGAGAGGAACGCAAGAATAAAGGGCATCTACCATAATTACTGTAACACAGACAATCCTGCAACAATATGATTAACAAACAATAATTTACAAATGGATACACAGGTAGATAGGTATGCTAAAGAGGTGTGGGAGAGTGTAAGGGAGAACACCTACCTACAGACACAGGTTTGGTTGTGGATATTTCTACATACACAATTGTAGATGCTATATGTATATTAATACACACAATAGAGCACACAAGGGGCAGTCATGGAAACTTCTCAGACATAACTAAACACTTTGCAGGTTGAAGGTCCTAGCTCGAAGGTGAAGGACCGTCGACTCAGGAGACATCCTTGTCCATTGGCACAACATGGTTCATAAAGACAGTGTTCTGCATCCTACTTTGGTGAATAGTATCTGGGGTGTTAAAAGCTTGTGAGTGGTCTCTAAGATAAGACTATTGGACTCTTCCTGTTTGGAGCAAAAGAGAGTGAAGAAAACCAAAGACTCAAGGGAATAATTAATCTAGAGGACTAATGGACCAGCTGAACCACAGCCTACATGACCCCAAGACCCAGAAGAACTAGATGGTGCCTGGCTACCACTACAGACTGCTCTGACTGGGATCACAACAGAGTGGAAGAAAAATGTACAATAAAAAAAATCAAATTCACAAAAAAGACTAGACTTATGGGTCTGACAGAGACTGGAGTAACCCCCAAGATTATGGCCCTAAGAAACCCTTCTGACCTGGAACAGAAACCATTCCTGGAGACCACCTTTCCTCCAAACAGTATACAGGCCCATAACATAAACAATACCACCTAAAAGGAACATATTCCTTGTTGTTGTTGTTGTTATGTGCCGTTGAGTCAGCCCTGACTCATAGCGACCCCTCCTTGGGTTTCCGAGGCAGTATCACTAC